CCCCAAAACCCCAAAACCCCAAAACCCCAAAACCCCAAAACCCCAATTATTTTATAAAATTTTGAAAATTTCGTATGGAATCTACTCTCTTTCACTCTGGAACTTGGTAAGCTACTTTGTAACCAAACAGGTATGAAGGACCCGCTTCTGATATGACCGTTAATGAGCCACATGGAAGGCCCATCCTCTGCATGGATGTCCTAGGTGACAAAGTGGTCACAGGGTCTTCAGACCATGGCCTCAGAGAATACAACATTGGATCATGCAAACAAATCCGACAACTCTATACAAAGAAGTACGGCCACGGCGAATGGGTCACGTCTGTGTCTTACGCTCCTGACGGCAGAGTCTTGAGCGGAGGCATGGACGCTAAGCTCTGCTGTTGGGACAAAAGAATTGTTCGGTGTGATGATTTGACAGGCCACAAAGGATCGATTTCTAAAGTTCTGGTCGATGCAACCGGAACAGCCATCTCATGCTCCTATGATGGATCCCTGCTTATCTGGGACTTATCTTCTAAGGAGTGTCTTCAAGGCCTTGTTAGAGGCCATAAAGATGCAGTCACTACCTTTGAATGGCAAAACTCATTGATGGTCTCTGGAGCAAGAAATGGGTCATTGGCAATCTGGGATATTAATGTTGGAAAAGCTGTCACAAAGATGCAGCCTCATGAAGGAGCTGTATCCAAGATCAAGTTTTATGATGATACAGAAGACACAAGTATCATTATCAGTGGAGGTCTTAATGATGGAGCAATCTGAATTCATGATATGAGAACCAACAAATTGGTTGGAACCACACAACTTCATTCAGGGGCTATTAACATGTTGGAGATTACCTCTTCGAATGGCATCGTCACTGGGTCTGGAGACAAAACTATGAAACTAATTGACATCCCAGGAGGCTACAAATGTATCGAAACCATGAAGGCTACTGATGCTGTTTTCTGTGGACAAGTTGTAAGCAATTTGGCTTTTGCAGGTTGTGGAGATGGAAGTCTTATTGCTTACAATATTGACAATGGAGAATGTCTTTATGGGTATGGGTGAGATAACCAAGGTGCTGTCCAGTGTCTACGAGTTCTGCCTAATCATTCATGTATCCTCGCAGGAGGAGACTCTGGTACTTTAATCAAGTTGAACTTTGATGCTGAAAGGTTTTAGATATCTTTCAATTTATATATGGAAAGTTGGGGTTTTGGGGTTTTGGGGTTTTGGGG